GGGGGGGGGAGATAAAGACGATAGATGTTTGATAGGAAAGAAGGAGCAGATAATCTTGGAATACAGAGAAGACACCTGGATTCTTAGAGCCAAACCACATAAATTATAATAAGCTCTGAGTGCTTTACATCAATCACATGATCACGGAAAGATCCACACAAGATGGAATGGAGATTGTTGATGATTTTTTTAAAAACCCTCCTCACTCAGGAATCTAACTCATCTCTTCTGCGTGCCATGGTGAAGAACCCAACCGCTACACCACTGAAGCCAGTGAAAACAAGAAGATAGGAAGAACATTTTGCAGACAAACAAATACTATAGTATGGCTCTCTAAAGCGACTTTCACTTTCACATAATATTACGCCTTAGAAGTTTCTCAAATTCATAATTAAAGTCTTCAAGTGTATTATATCATTCTTCAACCATAGCAGTTGGTTGCATCATCATCTGATGGGAAGTGGGTCTATTAACGGTAAAGACAAACCATGAGTAAAATGAAAGCGAAATAAAGATTTTTATTCGGGTGTAACTTTTGACAGCTCTGAATGGCCCAAAATGCTCAAATCAACAATTTCGTAAAGTGGAATCCTGTTATAACGAGAGGGAGGGGACTGGTACGAAATGTCCGTTATAGCAGGACTCTCGTTATAAAGGATCCAGTAATAAATATTCAAAGGAAATAATAAAATAGGCCTTATCTATGAGTTTGGTGTTTTGTTTATTTCTTTTTGTTACCGCCTCTGGGTGATGATTTTGCCCAACATGACCTCTTGGCCTTACTTGATCAAAAATCGAATCAGGTTTCTTTCTCTAGCTCTAGCAATGTTGACTGCTCGACGTTGGCGATCAAAAAGAAAACTCGTCCTACCTGTGACGCGTTCCATCTGCTTGCGCACATCATACGAGCGTTCATTCGTTCCATATATCACAGCACAATGGCCTCTCTATCCCCGAATCGGAGAAGTGAAAGGCATGGTAGGCCTAGATAATCTAGACTAGGCTGGCCTATCACGGGATGCGTTCAGTTTCACAACTGCTCGTCTGCGTATGATACACCCTCCCCACTCATTTGCTCCGGCCTTCATTGTTGGCACACGTGGGCTCTCCCATTCGTTGTTTCGCTAGATCACCAACAAGTTTCTCAACTGGCGAGGTTTTACATTGTATAAATGGCCTATGCACATGTGCACAGCAGTAGTATATATTCCGCTATAACCTACTCACATGTTTGTCTGATTGCGCTATAGCAGTATTTTATTTACAGAGATAAAGAAGAGAAAAAAAACGAATAGTGTCTTTACAACAGACTTCTTGTTATTTCAAAACTACTTATAAGTGGACTCCACTATACCGAAATAAACAGGAAAAAAACCAATTGATCGATTAAGAGAAAACCTAACACTCAAGAAAAGATACAAGTCAAAGAATCACCAGAGGCTTTATAAACCTCATGTAAATACATGCGCAAGTAGAAAGAATAGTACTATATCATAATAGAAAATGGATTCAAAAACTAGTGTCCATTTGATACTTAGATTATAATACAATAAAATAGTATTAAAAAGTCACATCTTGAACACAATCTAAAGGAAATTCTCACCTCTTTGATAAAGTAGACTTTACATCCCAGGTAAAAGCCCATGCGTACAACAGCTCTGACAGCTGCATTCATTCCTGAGGAGGAAGCATGAAAGAGTAACTTGAGATCATGATTTCAAAATCACAGTAGATATTGAGTTTATAGAAAAATTGCTGTAGTCATGCTCATCCTGTTTTGTCGTCAAGGAAAAGAATTGGGGAGGTAAATGTACAGTAATAAAATGCTAGTCTATAACCCAGGTTAAGGTGGGAAAAAACATGCTTGCGACAAAAAACTATTAGAACACAAAACAATACACCAAAAAAACTAAGTGATGATCCTCCCCTTATAATGCCAGCTATGATAATGGATAAGAAAAGATGTCACCTCTTTTCAGAGTGTGGTCGTAGTAGACTCTAAACTTCCTGGTTTTCTAAATATTTGCTACTCATGAAGACTTGCTTCTCAGTTGAATGAGTTTTAATTTTACTTCGTTCCTTTGAAGCTATGTACAGTTGAAATTGGGACAGAAAAAAAAGTATGCCTTCAAATTGCACAAGAGCACTGTTGAGGTTAAAGTAATATCATCAGTTTTCTCCCAGGCCCCTCCTATGCCATGCTAATTGTTTTTGACCGAACAAACATTAGAAAAATCGTACAACAGAAATTATTAACCCAGAGAGAAAAAAAAAATAATAATAATATCAGCCATATTTAAATATAGAGTAAAAGTTTAAGGCTTTTTGTAATTTCACCAAATTATTCTACTGCTACTATATTTGGACTCCCTTGCCTACTAATCCATCCACTAAGAGCACTCTCTCTGGGCATAAAAAAGCGTCGAAGAAAAGAAATTCAACATGAAACTGACAATGACCAAATGGTCAATGGACCCTCTCTTTAATTTTAATTTAAAAACTGGCAGTGTGTTTTTAAAAAACAACTTTGTGGTCTAGTAATTTCTTCTCTCTGTTTATCAGTCTTGAGAAAGAGGTATTACTCCGAAAGTGAGTCATATGATGCTGTACATTAGTTTCTCAATCATATGTTCGGCCCTTTCAGGCCTGATGTAGTAGTGACAAGAATGTGATAGTGTAAATGCAATACACTCTGTGTCAAATTATAATTGTAGTTGGCCCTGCAGCAGTCAGTTAAGCTAGAGTAGCCCAGGATAACAAGGCTAATTACAAACCATTGCAAGTCTTTGCCAAATCATGTATGCATGCACCAATATAAATGGTGCTAACAATGACATTATAGTATAATTTAAAAAACTTTTTTTAATCTTCCAAAAGAACAATCATATATATAAATACAATGCAAGAAATAAAAATCTCAAGACACAAAAATAGGGTATTTATATATGGCAACTACAGTAGTCTCTGCTAAGATCCCAAAATGCGGGACCTTAGGCAAACAGGATCTTATCCTTATCCGACACACAGAGAATTATCTGCGGTGACCCATGTTAAGGCCCACAACGCATAAATAAAAACGATCTCCCTTCACTCTAAAATGAATTGACATTACCACTAATACCACTGAGTGGGTTTATGAATGAGGCGACCAAAGAGTGATTCAACCAATCACGGTGGTATGAGGCAGGCCATTATCACTTAACATATCATCCTACTGTGAGTCTCTTGAGATCTTCACTTTTATCCAGTTGGCCTTCCCCTTTACCTGTCCAAATAAGCTTTCCATCTCCAACTGAGTTCCCCCTATCTTTGTCTTTACGTACCATTATGTTGTGACCACACCAATTGAAATTAATTCAGTCTGTCTCGCATTCTTGAGTAGGGACAACTGCTGCAAGGGTCCGGGAACAGTTTACAGTTCGATGTGATCCCGCCTGGAGCAAACTTGTAGGCCCTACCCACCCAGCATTTGATATAACTTTAGGTGGAGACCTCAAATGCGAGTGAGATGTTGGGGGAAAACAAATCATGCGTCACCCAGTTCACACCTCGGTGTGATCCCATCCGGGTAGCAAACATTGTACCATTTCATGGTTTTACAATGCACATGTGACTACATTCACCAGAGTGGCAGATCTGTGATGCGATGGGCCGTTCAATTATCTCAACTTTTCAATTTTCACTCTTGGTTGATCGGCTTTGCCCGAGCCGCAATGGCTTTTGTTTCGTAAATATGATCTCTGAAATGCGGGATCTTAGCCGAATGTAGACCCTCAGAGTGAATCAGAGCAGGATCTTAGTAGGGGTGACTTTTGTGAAGTCAAAATCATGTTAAAACAAAAGAGCTCCAATTTACTCTGTGGCAATTGACACTACCTTCTGAGAAATAGAGCCGGCAAAACAATTATATTTTACTTGCCCACAATTCTCCAGGTCAAATAAGTCGACACAGTAATAAGATCTATAATAAAAATAAAATGTTCTAGATTCTAGGTCTAGATTCTAGATCTAGATCTAGATCTAGATCTAAATATTTATCAAGGTCAGGAATGTTTACAAAAAAGTAAGTTTTGGTCAGACTTTTACAACTGTCAAAATTCAAAAACAAAGTACAAAGTTAACTAATGTAATCTGCCTAGGGTTTGGGACCAGGTTACAAGAGCAAAGCAGTCAAAGTTTCATTTTTATTTGGTGCTTTTATTTCGCTTTGAATTTGTGCTTTGAGGGTGCAAACCACAGCTAACACCTTCAATTACAATTTGAATTCAAAACCCCGGCCGCCGTAATAGTATAGATTTAATTAAATTACTAATAATAGAGAGTCTCTAGATCTATATAATATGCATGCATCACTGGCATCAGCTCGGCCAAAATAACCCTTGACCTTTCTCTTGTTCTTGGCTTTAAAAACGACAGGATGGAACGAGTATCTGGGTAATTTGCACAATTTAATGTTTTAAATGGTTTAATATGCAGAAAATTTAACTGAGAACACGCACCTTGCGAATCTCCACCACTGGTGAAGACACCAATAGAATTTCCACTCCATGATCCAGACGGCACGGATTGCCCCTCTTTTCCAGGCTCAGCCATCACGCTGAACTTACGAGAGAATGATCTCCCTCTGCCAAACTTGCTCGGACTATCCCCAACATCCATAGTAATTCCTTAGGACCTGAGGCAATCTGCCAAAAGATGCGGTTCGCGTAAAGGTCAGTTCGCTGTCGTCACCTATGCAATTCGTTACTCACAACAGTAGCGCACCTTCTTTCTCTACACACCGGATAACATACACCGGAGGAAAGTGTAGGTGCACAGTAGAGGTGTGCGAGTAACGAGTCCAGACTCGAGTACTCGAGTAATACATGCAGCGAGTCCAGACTCGAGTCACAAGTAAATTACTCGAGTAAGGACTCGAGTCTGGACTCGAGTCCAGACTCGAGTCTGTAGGGGGGGGAAAACAGAAAAAAGGAGAAAATATTGGTTTTTTTAAAAGTTAAAAATAGATAAAAGAAACATTCTAAT